TTGATTCAATGACTTTTTTTCTGAGGCCATTTTGTCTGACGACTTTTTTTCTGACGCCTTTTGGTCCGATGACTTTTTTTCTGAGGCCGTTTTGTCTGACGACTTTTTTTCTGACGCCTTTTGGTCCGATGACTTTTTTTCTGAGACCGTTTTGTCTGACAACTTTTTTTCTGATGTCTTTTGATCCGATGACTTTTTTTCTGAGGCCGTGTTGTCTGACGACTTTTTTTCTGAGGCCGTTTAGTGTGACATCTGACAGAGGTTTTCCTGAGACCTTATGCCTTTTCATCTAAGGTCTGACACTGAAGCCTGACACCTGAGGATGTCCTAAAATGTATGCCGTACGCCTGGCTTACTGCTGTACCAATTCCAAGTGCTCAGTGACAAAAGGAGAAGCAAGACCAGGATGGACACTGGTTCAGCTTTCGTTGTTGGAGTCCGGTAAAGGAGTTTCAAGGGATGAAAACACTGAGGTCGCTACTTTTCTTCTTGACTGGTAAGCTAAAGCTAAGTTTTACTAATGGTTTTCGCTGAGGTCCAGCACTGGGGTTCTGATTCCAGACAGTCTTGAGTCCCTGCAGGATCAGCAAAATCTCTGTTGCTGCCATTGCACAGGTTAGGCCTAGTTCACATTACACAATTTTCACCTTGATTTTGCGTTGCAGAGACTATCATAATCTTTTGAGTGTTCATACCTGGCGACGTGTGTCTCTGTCAGTGGGAGTCTCGCCAACTGTGGTACGACCTGTGTGTGCACACCACAAGATTTCTCCACCAAGCTCTCGTCGACAGAGCCCCAGATAACGTGGTGACGTCACCAAACTTGGAGACGACGCATCGTAAAGGCATGGCTACTCTTCTCAGTGTTGAATCAGATCTGCCTCCAGGGCCTGGGTCCAAACACCTTGGCTCCCTGTGATCCTGTGGACGCCGCCATTGTTGTTGTTGCCTGCCAGCTTGTCAGTGTTGTCAGATCTTGGGAGAGAAACAAGCAACTAGGGCTATGGAAACAAGCCCAAAAGAAGCGACTATCATGCGTTTAAATAACTTATTAGACGGATATATATATAGAGAAAGGTGACGTTTAGAGAGCAAGCCCAAATAAGCAACTCCACTTTAGAAACAAGCCCAAAGTCGCGGCTAATAAGCAGACCTGGCAAGTGGTAACCCTGCCGGCTTGTCCTCCTCACATTTCTTCCGTCCTCCTGAGTGCTGACGTGGGATGTATCCCGCCTCTCATTGGCTGATGCTCTTTGTCAGTCGTGTCATACTTCTCCATTTTCTAGCATGCCAGATATCCAGTCCCAGTCTCAGACGAGGGGGCGACTTTCTTGTAGGTTTGTTCACGCATGAGGACTCGTCGTGGCAGACTATCTGCCAACTCACCTCCAACCCAAGGTGGCTCTCAAGATCCTCTGCGACGTCAAAATCGAGGTGAAAATCGTGTAATGTGAACTAGGCGCTGAAGGACCGTCTCAAGAGCCGCCTTCCTCCAGGGTGAATAGTCAGTTTAACGTCTGCCCAATTAGAACAAGCTAACACAGAGGCAGTGGCTAACATCCAAAACTGAGCTGTTAAATGGTCCCAGCAAACTCACACTGACCTCGAAATGGCTCGACCCTGTCAATAAACCTATTAATAACGGTTAGGTAATGATAGTCATGTGATGCTAACAGTTAGCCCTGTCATTTTGTGAGGCATTTCATGATAAACAGAGTTTGAGAATGAGAACTGGACTTGAGGATAATGTTACAATGGGCTGATACAAGATATCAAGGGTGAATAAAGTAATGGAATTTACCCAATTGATGTAAAAAAAAAAATCCTTGCCTGCAGCTTAAATCAGTAGCCTCTTTTCCTCCCAAATATGATGAGTGATAAAACAGAGAAGGGTGGAACTCTTTCCAATGACAAGGTTAGCTAAAGCTAGCTAGCCATATCCTAAGATTACCTTAGATTATGTTACACAATTCTTGAAACTACCACACAAAATAACCGGTATCTAGTAGCTAATGTTGTAGATAGCACTTTTAATTGAAAATGTCTCTGAGAGAAAAGACGCTGGGACTTGAAGCCTTTCTCCTTGATGGCCATACAAAAGAAGCAACTGTCAAAAAATGTCTGGTCAGGCCAGGATGCCCATGACCTTGACCTTTGACTATAACATTCTTATCAGTCTTCAGTATTCTTTAGTCCAAGTGGACTTTGTGTCAAATTTGAAGAAATTCAAATTTGAAGAAATTCTCTCACAGTGCTCTTGAGATATCATGCTCACACACAAAAAAGAGATGCAAGGTCACAGTGACTTTGACCACTGACCACCAAAGTCTAATCAGTTCATTAGTAAGTCCAAGTGAACTTTTATGCTGAATTTGAAGGGATTCCCTCAAGGCCTTCTTGAGATATCACCTTCATGAGAATGAGACAGACAAGGTCACAGTAATCTTGACCTTTGACCACCAAAAACGAATGAGTTAATAACTGAGTCCAAGTGGACATTTGTGCTAAATTTGAAGAAATTCTTTTGATGTGTTTTTGATATTCGTGTTCACAAGAATGAGACAGACGGATGGAGGGATGGAGGGATGGAGAGACAGACAGACAGACGGACAAGTTAAAAACATAATGCCTCTGGCCACAGCAATTGCTGGTGTGGAGGCATAAAAAAAACAAAAAATTTGGGGGGGATGGCCATTCCTATAAATGGTTTGTTGTAAATTTAAGGACAGAATTTGTACCTGAGCTGTGAGTATGTATGCACTGGTGCCAATTTTCGACAACATCTACAGTTGAAGTTTAAGGTTCGATAAATTATTCAACTAGGGTAGTAGTTGACGTCGTGTGGGGAAAAGACTTGGGTTTATGGCTAATGCACATATTATTTCCAGTCGCTTCTATGTTGCTTGTTTTTTGATTGTTGTTAAGCTACTTTCAAAAGGTTTGTTTACATGCACAGTTAGGTCAAGCTACGGAAATAGCTTGACTAGGCCATTTAATTGAAACAAACAATCGACAAACATTGCTATGGTTAGCTAGCTGCAAATTGGTAAATGGTGGACAACTTTACAGCTTTGTACATTTTGTCTGTCCACTAATGCACGGCTCTGGATGTAAATTTCGCCACATTGTGACCAGTTTCTTCTTCTGTTCCACATTTAATGCAATTCAACTTTTGGGTCACAGCCCGGGGTGGAAATTGTGGCACATGTGCAGAGCGCCCAGGCCAGTTTGGGTCCGATTGACCGCATACAGTATATGCAGGAGTAATTCGACTCCCTATCACATTATCTGGGTGTGTTATTCCGACATTGAGAAATTCGTTTTAATATGATATCAGTTGCACTAATATGTTTACATGCATTTTAAAAGTCGGATTTTAGTCGGACTTACGCAATAAATTTCTCTAAGGTCATGTAAATATACTGACTGAAACTCAACACTTCCTGAACATGTTTGACATTAAAATCAACAGCTAGGTGAGGTATCATATTCTTGGAGATGCTGTTTGTGCAGGAAGTATCTCAAAACAGAATGTTAAGGTGGCAAAGAAAATATGACTTGTAAGCCATGAATTAGTATTATGGGGGAAGTGTTGAGTTTATGATCGCAGCAAAGAGCATCACCAGAAAAATAAAAGCACTGTAGGGCTGTACCCAAATATTCGGATATTCGAATATTCATTTCTATGGCTAGGTACTCATTATGAAAATTTGGTATTCGATATTCGTTTTTTTATTTACTTTGTTTTTTTTTTTACATATTTTTTTGGTGCTAAATGTAGTCTTTTTGTTGTTGGTAAATGTAGGTTATCAATAAAAATCAAAACTTTTAAATTTCATTGTTAAAAATGTGAAAATATAGTATAGCCTACCAACTGAGCTTGTGCGCACGACACGCTTGAGCGCATCCGTCTGAGGCTGTGGATCAATGCCAAGTTTTACTACTTTATCACTATTCCCTCTAACTTGTAGCTGTTTTTTCATTATCTTTTGAATTTAATATGAATTATGGAACCGTTTTTGTCAACGTATGTTTCCCCCGTTTTGTACAATAAATTATTGTTTAAAGTTTACAAGTTTCTTTTGGAGTGCGTGACACAAGTGTGTTTTGAAAACAACCGCGGACTGTCACCTGCTCAACGCATCAGTACCTTCGGATGCCATGACAGTAATAGACTATAGATTAATAATAATGTCAAAATATCATTTACAGACCAATTTAACAGAAGATCACTGCTGCCTGACCCGCAGGTCCATTTGCGGGTCCCGCGGGTTACGGGTCGACCCGCGCATCACTACTCAGTTCAGTCTATAAAGGCTGTACACATAACAGTAAGGCTATAGACATTATATTCTATTCAGGCCGGCAGAACCAGCAGCGCATCGGCTCTACAGTGCACGGCACTGCTGATTAACCATTTTATTGCAGCACAGAGTGTCTGCCAGCAACCAATTACTTGCAGAGGCTTCCTATAACTTGTTTCAGCGGTTCCGATTTAATCAGAAGACAAATTAAACAGGATGACTAGCCAATGTGAAAATCAAAAGAAAGCATAGAATAATGTACTGAAGGAGACTGTTGTGCCATCACACTTTTTTGTGGTTTGAGAGCAAAGATCCTGTTGCCGCAGTGCAAAACTCCGCAATACAATTAGGTCCGAAAAAACCCCGGAGTCAACCCCCCCCCCGTGCGAAAGAATAATCGAATATTTGTTATAAATTCTGCCAAAGGTCCGAGAGTTAAAAAATGGTATTCGGGACAGCCCTAAAGCACAGCAGTATAAGACAATGGGAGATGTCTTACACATATATGATAAAAACATACTTACAGTAACAAGGCCTTTTTCTAATATACACCTGTTTCAAATAAGGGTGTCCCTCTGCAGTTAGTGAGGTTAATATAAGCTCTGGTCAATATCTGAGAAGTTACAGCATTATGGTAACAGTCCCTCTAAGTATAATCAGAAGAGTGTGCATGGGCATGTGTGCAACTCCACTCACCCTGCTCAGTCCCATGTGGTAGCTGCTCTTCTCCAGCTCCAAGGACTCCAGCAGCTCCTCCACTGCCTGGAAACCAGCAGAACAAACAGTCAGCATACAGATAAACAAAAATAACCCTGCTTTGTTCTGGGCCTTTCCCCGAAGCGATCACATGACCTGTTTGCCCAAAGGATGCTCGTTTGGTGTTATAGCAACAAACAGCATTCCCCGTTGACACCAGCTAACACAAACACACACACACACACACACACACACACACCCCTCCCCCGATCTGCCTCGAGGGATAAAACAAGTCAGACAGAGAAGCTTCTCAGGTCCCTTTTCTGTCAGGTTTCATCTATCGAGTTAACTCAGCCTTTAGAAGACAAACTGCAGACTGTTTGGTTGTTGGGGCCAACTCAGGTTGGTTTTGAAGTCTGATGTTGGGATTAAGGATTAAGAATATCAATATCTGAATAATAGATGTTATAACTGGGCTATAGAGAGGAAAATGACAAATGCTTACTTCCCACAAGGGGCCTGTTGATTATATTCCACAACATGAAAGTGCTAAATTTGGCTATCCTTAGATAGTAAGGCTAAAACTGTAGAGTGTGTCCTGGGGTGGTGCTATGGGAAAGGCCAAGGGATATTTAAATCACAGAATTGTAAAGGTATACTATGCAGGAATTGTTATTGTTATTGTAAGTTATTGTTTGAAAACAGTATTGCCAGTAAAAGTGACAGCCAACCTTGTATTCACGATAGTTTTTTGTTGCTGTGTCCGCAATTTTCATTGCTCCCTCTTGGATGTGAGCGGCTTACTATCTAGCACGTGGTCACTACCTTTTTCACAACCTCACCTACGTGCTGTGCCCAGGAACATCCCGAACACAGCAAAATACAAAGATAATAAGAAAATACAGTTGTGCAGAGTCTCTGCAGGTGAATGCACCACCATAAACTAAGAGTGGATCATACATGATGATTGAGAGGAATTATTTTGGTATAAGTCGATACATCTTTTTTTAAGAAAATCCTGAATAGTATAGCTTCAGGATTTGGTTAGCAACACTTGTGGTTATTAGTGGTAATAGTAACTGTGTGCTACAGCACAACAGAGAAGGGAATGATAACAATAAACATAATTACAAGAGACAACAAAAAGATACCATGTAAATAAATAGCCTGCTTTCTGACTTAAGGTAGAAGCACAAATATCAAGGAAAAATGACCAAATTAATGAAATATCAAAGTCTTCAAATCAGGCAAAAGAAAACCCTCTGCTTCTAAAATGCTCCTAGTGTGATATATATATATATGACTCCAAGCAGAGGATGGAACAAAAATAGAGATGTACTGATACCACGTTTTTCTTTCTTTCTTTCTCGCGATACAGAGTACCGATCTGATACCAGTGTGTAAAATAAAAATTAATGGGATATGAATTGTTGTATGTCTCAACTCCTAAAACTCTATAAAATACTAATAAATAAATACATAATAGTAGAATGAATGCCATAAAACTTTTTTTATTATTATTATTATTCAGTGTTGACACAGATCAAGACACAGGTTAAAGTGCAGTTTGGTATTAAAAAAAAAAAATTCACCAGATGACTTAAAGTAAGAAAATTAAAAAAAATAGTTGCAGGGCTTTACTGACCATAACTACAGATGCTACCAGCTTCACTTGAAACAGACTACATTATAATAATAATAATATATTTATCATTCCCTCTGTATCTTTATATTTTTACCCGCTCCCGTTGCCTTGATAAAGTTAATGCATGGTACCATCATTTCAAACTCAACACTTCCTGAACTTGTTTCAAATTAAATGCCCCTTATAACCTCGGCTGGGAGAATCTCTCTATTTTCTAAATAGGCTTTTATTGTGAAACATTTGTAGGAACTTGTGGAGAAATCAGTGACTTTTATGTTTATGTACGGTACTTCAAATATAGCTTCTGCTGTCTGCTGATGCTTTTTAGGTGACTACAACAACATTTCGGCTGGCACATGAACAGACACAGAGACTGAAATAATAGTAAAAGTAATAAAAATAGGACAAGAATAACCTGATGACATCAACACGTCATGAAAGACGACTGGGGATAATTAGTGTGTATCATCGTATAGTCTGTCATGTCTGTCGGCCATGTCACAGTACGATTTTATGACTCCACAATTGTGTAATGTGACATAGTGACTTTCAGAACAGGCAGAAAAGTCGTGTAGTGTGAACCAGGCATAAATCCTCCTTTACCGTTTCTCCCTCTTCATGTCGCTCATTTTCAGTGTGTGACTGCAGCGTGTGCATGAGAGGGGGAGGGGTTGCTTAGTGCTCAGAGAGGCGAGCGGAGCTTCAGAGCTGCTTTTCTGAAGCAAAACAAAAGTTTACATGTTCTAAAAAAAGAGAAAACATTGCATGTCCTGCTATGGGTCTATCACACATGCGCACATGGCGATGTTCAAACGATAGCGTGCGTATCTGTAATGATGTGAGGCATTACGTGGTATCAGATTGGTTATAGGCTGTATTTGCCGATGCCCAATCCCTTATTTTAGGCAGTATCGGAGACATTTCCGATACTGGTATTGGTATCGGTACAACTCTAAACAAAACCCAGTGATATTGTCCCTCCCAGCTCCCTTACAGTTAAGATAGCAGCAAAGCAACAACAATAGGAGATTTATTCTACTCACATTGTGTATAACTTTCGTGGATTGTAACACATCAGGTATGGAATTAGTCTGCAGATACTCTGCTTTAAAATGAGACAAAACTTTTCTATGGATGTTTATTTTATTTCATTGTTTTATTTGATAGGGACAATGCATCAGTGTGGGAAATACACCTTGTGAAAATGCCAGAATTAACACAATGGCTACTTTTCATCTGTAGTCATGTCAGTTTTACCTAAATTTATTGTAATAGTGTTTTAGTTAACTTTACTGTAATTTAACTTTGACTTTATTGTTACAGAACATTATTTACCTTTATTATACAAGTACTTTATTTAACTTTAATGTTATTGTAACAGTACATCATTTCCTTTTATTATATCAGTACTTTATTTAACTTTAATTTTATTTTAACAGTACTTAATTTAACTTAGTTGTAACAGTACATTACTTACCTTTATTATACTATTACTTTTTTTTTACTCTATCATAACAGTTCTTTTTCAGTGCTTTATTCAACTTTATTATAACACAGAGATTTCAAACACTGACATATATATTCTGTTGGGATATGGCCTTAAAATAATGTGGTAGCAGTTAAAGGCGTTATCTCCCAAATCTAATGACATAATTTCAGGGGGTCTTTAAACTAATTTAATGGCAACCTGTCAATAGAATTTTGAGATCTTATATGCATAAAGTTGATTTGAGTGTTGTGAAGGACAGGACATCTGCGCTCTGAGAACCACATATGAGCAGTGATTTTATTACATTCTGCCCTTCAGACTGTCTGATATTAATGTGTGCAAGAGAAAACATTGTCCTGATAGTGCCACTAAAGAAAGGTCAGAGGGTCACAAACGTCATTAAGAGGGAGGACTCCACTGCTTTGTAATGTCAGAGTCTTTAAACAGAAAGCCTGATATACAAACCAGACAAGTAGAGTCTCACAAGAGACACTAATAAGTTGCATTACCAGAAGTGAAGTGATAGAGCACTTTTGGTTTGACCCATATTATGGGTAAAAGTTAGGATATCTCATCTCACACCTCTAATTTTTTATTTTTCTTATTTTATTGGATGGGGGTTTAGTTTTTTTGTCTTTTCTCTTTCTCGTGTGAGTCCCATGTTGGGATATCTCACTCTGACTCAAGGTTTTGGTCAAACTGGCACAAAGAGACCCTGACATCCTGAGAGGTACAAAGCCAGAGAATACTACTTACTACTACTACTACTACTACTACTTTCTTACAGAGCATATAGACCACTGAAATGCCACTTAAAACCAGGACAATAATTTTAAGACATGATAATAATACATGTGGAACTTTATATGTCAGTTTCCACAGAGGTTTGAGAGAAATGTGGATTTCCTCTCTGCTGTTTGCCTAGCTGGTCTGAAAAGCTCTTGGCAGGACACCATCTGGCTGCTAACATCACTGCTACATCACACTGTATTAAGAAGAACTGACAGAACTGGGCTGACAGCCACAGAAATACAAACAAACACACATATATATATATACATATATATGTATAACAAAGAAGGGCGTATAATTTGAGGAATAATATGAAAGAATTGGTTTTCAGAGAAAGAGAAAGCAGCCTCAATAAAAGACTCCTACAACTCTGAAACTGAAACTTAACTTGTGATAAATAATCAGTGCACATCATTAAAGTTACTCTGTCCAAAAATAAGAAAATAAGAATTATTTCCTGAACATATTATTTGAATATATAATTTTATTTACTAACAATAAATGTTGGACAATAAAGATTTGGCCCCACCAACAATAATAATAGCCTCATAACTGCATTTACACTCACCGGCCACTTTATTAGGTACACCTGTTCAATGCAACAGAGCACCTTTGTAGAGATGTATTGCTTGTTACTGTTTTTGTTTTGCTTCGGGTTTTTGTTTTTTTGTCAAATTTATTTTATATTAACAAATTACATATTTTCGTTTTTTTTACTACGATTTTTTTGTGTTTGTGGAAGTTATTTTATATTAATGAATTACATATTTACGATTTTTTTTAATACGAATTTTTTTGTGTTTGTGGATGTTATTTTATATTAATAAATTACACATTTACAATTTTTTTTTACTATGAATTTTTTGTGTTTGTGAAAGTTATTTTAAATTCATAAATTACACATTTACGAGTTTTTTTTTAACTGCGTTTTTTTGTGTTTGTGGAAGTTATTTTATATTAATAAATTACACATTTACAATTTTTTTTACTACGATTTTTTTGTGTTTGTGGAAGTTATTTTATATTATTGAATTACACATTTATGATTTTTTTTTACTTTACGAATTATTTTGTGTTTGTGGAAGTTATTTTATATTAATAAATTACACATTTACGAGTTTTTTTTACTTTACAAATATT